TGCCTCCCCTCCACCCTCACTGGCCATGGTCTCCCCTCCAGCCCCTGCACCTGCCGGCATCTGACCCCCCCCGGCCGCCCCCGTGTCCGCCAAATTCTTCGGGTGGATCGTATGATCCCCCTTCGTCATGGCCTCCATCTCGTCGTACACACTCCGGTCCATAACGAAGTTGAAGCCCTCCGATCGCCTGGCCTTTGAAGCAAGCTTGAAGTAGTCCTTCCCGCCGGAGAGGTTCTGGAACTTGTGGACCTTCTAGAATTGCTGCATCAAATTGTCCCATTTTTTCCCGCAGTCGACGCCCTCCCTCATGATGCCCACCATCTGCAACCTCGCCCGCACGTCCACCCACTTCCACTCCCCCGTTTTCATGCGGGCGAAACTGGTGCCCATGCCGACGATATACAAATCTTGATCCTGTTTTGCCCTGACGAGTGCGATCGTGTCACCCACCGACCAGAAGTTTCGGCCGCCCTCGCCATCGCTCCGGCCGGTGTCGTCATCCATTTTCTTATTCCGTCGATTTTTCGGAGCGGGACCCCTCTTCGCACTCGCACSGCCGTTCGTCACCTTCCACCCAAGTGGCCTGATCTCTGGCAAATCGTYGGAGTTGCAATCGTCGTCGCCGTCAACGTCGTCACAACCCAGGGGCTCATCGAAAGCCGCTTCGTCGCCTTCGTCCACGTGGAGCCATTGCACCCCTCTCGTGATTGTCTCCGTTCCACCTTGATTCAAGGCCTGCCTGCACTCTGCCCACAGCTGCCTGCCGTCGCGTTGCACGTCCGCACCTCCCTCACACGAATCCTCTGGTCGGTGCCGTCCTCGAGGAGTCCTGGATCTGCGTTGCGACGCAGGTGACAAGTGCATCCACTCCGGACGTTCATCCGCACCGTGTCCTCCTCCGACGTTCGACGACGACACATTTCGATCCCCCCCACCTTCGCGAAGCGATTGAGGTACACCGCCGTCTCACGCCCCGCGCAGACCAACATGCGTGTTATCCGCGCAATCCCCATCTGGGTGGGGATTGATGATCCGAGTGTGCGTTGCCACTTCTACGCTGCTGTTGGACAACTTGAAGTTGAGATCAACCGCTGCATTGTCGTCATCGTTGCACAACCCCTCGTTCAACAGTGAGGTGTAAGACCACGGGGTCTCCGCCCGCCTGCCAACATACGACTGCGTTGCCGCCCATTCCTGCGTGGAACCACTTCCCAACGGCAAAGTCGACGACATGACGTCTTCCCCCTCGTCATCCGACGGCGGCAGGGGAATCTCGTGGGAAGGCAGGTGAGCATACAACCTCGGGTCGTACGGCTGCTTCGCCACAGACCCCGCAGTGCATTGCCGATTGCTCGCTCCAGAGGTTGTGGCTGCCGGTCTGCCGTTGGCCAGTCGTCGATCCATCCTATCGGCTTTCTTCGAAGATCTCCTTCTGCGAGCCGCGGCCGGGACGAGGCCGACAAAACACACGTGGAAGGAGACAACGACGAAAAGCAGCACGACGACGAGGAGCAGCAGAGGCAGCCTATGCAGCAGGTCGGCCATGTAAGGGCCGTTGCAAGGGCAACAAGCCGGCGTCAGCGGTCGACCGTCCAACGAACAAGCCTGTCGACAGAAGAAAGATCGGCGGAAGATCCGTGCACCAACGTGAGAGCCGTGACGACAAACGAAGAAAACAACGAACTTCTGCAATCAAACTGTCGTCGTCGAAAGCAGCGGCGGCTGGGAAAAGCATTCGAATTTCGGACCTTTGTCGACGATCGCCCGCCGCAGCAGACCGCAAGGCGCCAGCCGGCAAATCGTGTAGACGGAYGGAGGCCTCGCTCAGACGGTGACCGTTCGGAGCYGTTGGGGCACCRTGCACATTTTGGAGGCAGGGATGTCCGTGCTCACGKTCGCGAGACCASGTCTGGACCAACCTCGAACCGAAATTGTGCGTCGACTCATGCCTTCGCGACTCCGAATTTCACGCATCCTTGTGCTCCGAGGGACCTCGGGAGGTCCCTTGGGGATTAGGAAATAATGGCTCTGGCCACAAGGACGCCGCAAGGAAATTTCCTTGTGGTGTTTTCACATTTTTTTTCGAGAATCGTCCCCAAGGACAGGTGGAACGATCATTTCCTTGTGGATTTCGGGTCCACAAGGAGTGTCTAACGAGCCCCTTACTCGCCAATCTTTGCGAATGAAAACTGTGTTGTGACGATCTCCTTTCGAATGAGCGCCATCTTCAGCGCAACTGAGCCTTGGGGTGCTTAGATGGGATCGGGGACAAATTGTACAAGTACCCTCGTTCTTTTCTTTTCCTTTCTTACAAAGATCGACTCTACAGGTGTTGGTGGTTCATTCGCGCCTTAGCAAGCGCGGGTGGGGAGGGGGGGGGGGACAGCGGTTGTTGCGCCTTCTTCCTTTCTTTTTGGTTGACGGAACTGGGCGGGGAATTTTGGGCACGATCATCCTTGGGGGCAAATCTTTTTGAATTTTCAACTAATGGGTTCTCGAAATTTCTTTTTGCAATTAGGACTTTAATTAGACTAGTAATTTGGGAGCATCGTAATTTTTGTTGTAACTGCATGTTGCTCCTTGCTTGCGCACGCCTTGCTGCACCCGACCCTGCCCTCTGATTTGGCCACACCTTAATTCAAGACATAATTGTATCTTCTTGGCGGGAGACGGTGTAACTGTAATCTTTCCTTTCTTGATTTCTTTTCGCGCTAAAGCACGGGCCCTCTTTCCCTTCGTTGCACTGGCCAGGACAGTGCATGGCTGGATCGATGTGTGGAGAGTGGCTACATCCCCCGCATCGCGGCCCGACCATGTAGCTGTAGGCACTTCCTCCTTTCCTCTCTCTTCCACTTCAGCGCAATCCCGACTATCTCGTGTAGGTACTAAGTGCTATAAATTCCATACGCCCAACTAATTCGCTCTCTAATCTATAACTTTGGAGTTAGTGCGGTCGAAAGGATCGACTAACGAGCAGGAGCAGGACGGTGAGTAGGGAGTTGGGCGATCTGACGAGCTGGTGTTGGGTATGCGGGGTTGACGTGTGGTTGCGAAGGACTGTGGCACATGGGCARACCTGGCTTGCATGCTCGGACTAAGCGGGGTGACAACTCTATGTGATTGGTAGGTGCGAGGCGGCGGACTACCCATATCGGAGGAACGTTGAGAAAAAGAGAGAGAGCAGGGTGTGTTGGAGTGGTGTTTCTCTTTGAA